TCGACCCAAATCGCAAAACCCAGCAACCTACTCCATTCAAATCGAAAAAACCTAGCAATCTCCTCCATTCAAATCGAAAAAACCCAGCCATCTCCTCCATTCAAATCGCAAAATCGATCCAAATAGCAAAAAGCCAAAAACTAGCAGCCTCCTCTCAAAGAACCGAGCAACCTCCTCCATTCAAATCACAAAATTAACCCAAATCGCAAAAACCCAACAGCTTACTCCATTCAAATAAAAAAGAACCCAGCAGCCTCCTACATTCAAATAGCAAAATCGACCAGAATCGCAAAAATTAATAGCCTCCTCACAAAAACCCAACAGCCTGAAGTGAAAGTATGAAGAAGTAACGAGATGAAATGAAGAAATCGACAATGGAAGAGAGAAATATATGGGTTAGGGCTTGAGAAGGAATAAAAAACTGGGGAAAAGCAGAAAAGAAACCCACTTTTTGGAATTGAAAATTGGGTATAAAAGTTCACTCGGTTTTCTCCCAAAACTGGTTGGACCGACAAGTTGCTACAGTAAACCGGTCCAACCGCGGGTCAAACCAAGTGGATTAATATCCCCAGTTTTTAAGCTGCCTGGCCCGGCTCAGTGGTCGGGTCCTGGTTAAACAGGTTGGGTCGGACCGGGTTTTAAAACATTGTTATAAACTCAATTTATAAGCTCAAAAAAGTTATAAACAAAAATGTCAGCTTAATTTTAAAGTTTATAAGCTAATTTGACCAACTTATAAGCTTAAACAAACACTCCCTTGATAGTGAAAAAAATGTTATTAAATAATTATTTGGGTGGAAATTAAGTCACTATATATTGACGTTCTAATTATTTATATGATGATTTGTATATAAACATCATTATTATAATTCTATTTTATTCATCTAATATTTCATCTTATACCTTTGGTCTATATAATCCACTAAGAATTGGTTAGCCATTAATTCAACAGAAAATTATAAATTAAATTCATTGAACGATACATTAGATTAATAAAATTTTGACAAATTAAACACATTGATTAATTTCGATCAACAACCAAGAAAATCCCAAAATCACCCTTATCTTATACCAACAATATCACACATAACCAAGGGCATTCAAGTAAATTCTGACCATCAAAACCTTACACGTGTTGACATTTTCAAACTTTGAATAATGAAACCTTTAAAATTCCCCAATGTTTCAACTTTACCCAACAAACGAAAACCTGCTCGTTTTGAAGCTTGTATGAGTTGACTCCTTCAAGTCTACTAGTCAACACGTTAGTCAAATGGAATTACATTTTTGTCCTTATAATTTCAGTCTACCAGTTAAGGACACTCATTATAAATACTAACAATTTGATCCCTTGACATAACAGAACTTTGTTTAATTGTAACTTGAATGTTAATTAATTTGATACCACTACAATCCAAACCATTTCTCTTATAGTAATTAGATAAACACATTACGTACACACTATTAATTTTAGAAGGATATGAAATAAATGTCCTTAATTGGAAGTAAATGAAACCACAAGGATCTAAAGAATCTCTCCATCGACAGTTAAAGCCCACTAAGAGATTTTGCATCACTCAACTTTATTCAACAATGCACCGCTTTTAAGTCCAACTAAACCCGCTAACTCCTCCATTTCCACTATAAATACACCAACCAAACCTCTCATTTTATCCATATTTTCTCAAACTACTCTTATCAAACTCAGTTCTAAGACTGAAAAACTTGCAGTTTCCAGCGGCAGCGTAGAGTGCTTTTTCGACAATGAATTCGAGTAAATTAACCACCCTTTTGATTGTTCTGGTCATCTCTGTGGCTGTGTTGAGCCATGTTGGGGTTGAGGCCAGTAGGGCTTTGCATGAAGATTTCGGTGGCGCAAATCATTTGGAGAATTACTCTACGTCGGCTTATGAGAAGGCCAAAGCAACGATGTCGTTTTGCGGCTTAAAGATTAGCTTCGGGACCCACGCCCAGAGGTCGGGACTTAGGAAGCATACAGATACAGATACGAAACGGAAATTAATTTACAGAAAATTCTTTATTTGTTTATTCATTTAGTTAACTTTTTTTTCTTAGTTTCAAGATATAGTGTTAACTTCTAAAGAAATGATACAATACACTTGTAATGGAGAAGCTAATAAGTCCTTTGTTTCATTACCACTATTTCCTATTCCGTTTGTAATTATAATGAAAAGTTCAAGGGATCGTCGGCATTTATTTTTTACAGGTTTTATTCAATAAATATAATGATAGACCTGACATTCTATTGTAAAGAGGCTTCTCAAATTTGTTTTAGGATTATGAGCAGGGTGCATGAAATTCTGATGAGATTTATTCGGACAAATTATTTGAATCGAATGGATGAGTTGAGACTGATGTAAACATTACTGGTGGAGGCCATCGGTCTGAAATTTCAGTTTCATGCTCGATTCTAGATCGTGCCTATGTTCTTGCTTCCTTCTTTGTGTTTTAGCTGGATCGATTCTCCTGAAGTTCGATTTCGTATGAAGGAATCCAACTATGATGCCGGGTTCATTTTAAGCACTTTAGTGAACAATCAGACAACTAAAGGAAGAATTTCAATCCAAGCTAAATCTTCAGAGAAAAGATCGTTATTAAAGGAAGAATCACATTCATCAAAAGGTACAGTGGGGACATCACAGCAAAGTTCTAATATGCTATCCTTATGTGTTCTTTGTAAAAATCAAATTATAAACATCAGATCGCTATTCTCGATTCAAAAAGGTCAAATCTAGTCACATTAAGAGATTATCTGCAATGATCATACTTTTGCTAAGATAACTCCGAGTAACTAGAATTAAGATGATATATTTGCATAGCAAAACAAAACATAAGAATAAACAAAGACTTAAGTCTTTGCGTTGAACACGGAGAATTGTTGAAAATTAACCTATTTTGGTGCGTGCAACATGGTCAAGTTGAAGAAACAAGAAGAAACGAGGAAGTCCAAACATGGCTCAAGTTGAAGACCAAAAGAAGAAACAAGGAAGAAGTAACACATGCGCGGCACAGGTTAACCCATGCCGCAGCACAGGTCACGCATGCCGCAGCACAAGCGTGATGTGATAAGAAAATGAAGAAACAAGAACGAAAAATGAAGCAAGTGTTTTGGTTTATGTTAATTTCCTGTTTTATGTTTTGAAGATTTTCTATTTTTGTTTTAGGAAAGAGTTTGAGTTGAATTAGGAAGATTCGTTCTTTATGAGAATTATATTGGAAGTCTCTTATTAAAAGAAGGGAGGCGGAGGCGGGGCTTCGATGTATTTTGAGTATTCAAATTAATAAAAGTTGAGTTTAGTTTCTCTCTGTAGTTCATCCCTTTTGGGCTCTGGCAATTTAATTTTTCACTCCCAAATTCCAACAGAAATTTCTAAGAAACAACGCTCCCTCTATATGATCAATCTCTCTGTTTCCAGCATCTACAATGGAATCTAATCGTTTTCATTAAAACCGATCTTCAGGGAAGAAGATGGCTCTCTAACTTCATCATTTTTATCAAAACTTCTTTGAAATGACCAACTGGGAAATATATAATCTGTACTTTTCCGTTGTTGTGGCTTTTCTCCTACTGTTATTTCACCAACAATACGACAAAAATGGAGGGTCAGTTCGTAAACCGCGTGGGTTCGATGCCCTTATGATATCCATCATGTTCTGCTTCACTGGCGCTTTTGGTTCGTTGTTGATCAGAAACAAGCCACAGCTTGCAGCTCTTAGCAGATTTTACTTTGTCATCTCCATGATCTCCATGGTCTCAGCTATGTCAATTCTTGCCTTTGCCGTGCTTTCAAGAAGCCTGCTTGTTACTGTGGGAAGTATATTGCGGCAGGATGAAGATGGAGAAGATCACTTACAAAAATTGGTCATGTTTCTGAAGAAGAACCCTCAGAAATTACTTAAATTTCTGATATGTAAACGCTGATCTATTTAATTTTACTCTTTTGTCAAGATTGTTCTTCAGTTTGCTGAGTCGGGTTTGGTTAATTTCTTCTATGAATCCTCTGCATAATTTTACTCTTCGATGATCCTAACTAATACAACTATTGATGTTTTAATATCATATTAATTGTATTTCCTATAATTAATATAGTATTGTTGTCGGTAACTATATCATTTGGGATTCAATAAAGAGGAAAATAAATGATAAAAAGGAAAATAACTCTTTTTTATTTTTGGGGAAAGAGAAAGGGGTTTTGCTGGTGGGCTTAGCTGTTCTGGTTACGTTACTCTCATGATTGGGCTTTACTGTGAAAACTAACCTGTATCTGGATTCAGACTTCTAAATTCTTGGGCTATTTGAATGTTCCTCGCCCTCTTTTTGTCTTTTTTGTTTTTGTTCTTGGTTTCTTTATGCTATCCCTCACTTAAGCACTCCTAATATAATACATGTTATTGACTACCTTTTACTTGTGGCCTCCAAGATAACATAATATATACTGTATTAATTTTTATTTAAATAGAATTTCATTGTCAGTATTGTAAGATGATATGTATAATATCGATTAAAAGACATTATTGTACACATTAAATGTTTATTTTAGTCATCTTCGATTTATATATATTAATCAAGAAGCAAAGAAATTGTCCCCAAGTGGGCAGTTTAGCCATCTTATTGGGTCTTTTATCGTGGAAGCAAAGGTGCAAAGATCAAATCCTCCATTATCCACTAAATGGAAAAATAATCCATAAATTACTGTTTCAGAAATAAGTTTTCGAGGATTTCTATAATGATATGTATGTTATTTCACAAATAATTAGATCTACCTTTGAATCGAAATATTCTATATTTATCATCAATTATCATATCATTTAGTAAAACTTTAATATATATAGTAAAATCTATATAATAACTATGAATCTTTATTTTATTTTATTTTATTTAGCCCTTGCATGAATAATAATCAAGCAAGCTAAGAAGTACAAAACACAGAGAAGCACAAACAAAAAAAAAAAAGAAAAAAGAAAAATCTAATATATCCTTAGCCGGGTAAGCTTATCTCCCCCAAAACCCCCCCCCCCCCCCCAGGAGAAACACCAAGTTGGTTGCAATAATCAGTGTAATAGTTAATCCGAGTCTGAACCGTGCTTGGGTTTCCACCATCGCATTCAAGAGCACCATTAATGGCGCGAATGGTTGCACCAAACCCTTGGTTCATTACAGGTTGAACTGAATTGGTCCAATACCATAAGGCAGTCTTGAATGATATAACAGGATCATTGGCAACAGTTTCAGGAGCGTTTAATCCATCAAAGCCAAGGGCATTTCCGGCCGGTCCATAATTGAAATTCCAGGATAGTTGAATCGGTCCACGACCATAGTAGCCTTTGCTAGGGTTGCAGGGATACTGTGTGTTTGTTTCATCACAATAGTCCTTAGTGGCACCATCTATCTCTTCAGTATGGCAAAAATCTGTAGCAAAGATAGTAATTGTTAGTTTGATTTGCTGGTTTGTATAAAAGAAGAGTGCATGCAATATATTGGTTTACTTTTTATATGTATTAAATTAAAACTCTTGTTTACTGACTTTGGTTAATATTAAAAGACAAAATTTTATAACTGTTTTTATCAACCAATGTGAATAATTAAAAGAGAATTTACTAATTAAACAAATAAAAATAGTGTATCATATTATTATAAAAATTATCAATGAAAGTAGATATCAGCAATTACGTAAAAGAAAAAATAAACACATAAATAATAAAATTTATTATATAAATATGATATGCCTATTTTGACTTCAAATTTCTCCATTTTCGACAACTAGAAAACCCGAAATTGAATGTTTTATGAATCCTTTTTCAGGCTGTCTAAACCCGAACAATCATGTAGTCTTGCATGTGATATTATTTATCGAAATTAGGTAAACCAAAGCTTTCTTAATAGTTAATATTATTTCATAGATCTCGGATTAAATTAATTATTTATCACTAATTTTGAACCGCATTTTAGAAAAAATAAGAAGTGGTTATGATAATACCAACTGTTAATACCACTTATTATCGATTATAATACTAAAACAAGATCATACAAGAATCTAAGGTCAATTTATATTTTATCAACATATTAATAACTTATTGACTTATAATATTATAGATTAGTAAAAATATAAAATTTTGAAAAGAAAAAAAGGTAGAAGAGAGTGATCTTACGTCCAGTTTCATGAGTAACATGAGCAAAGAAGGCTGCAATTTCACGTTTAGAATCCTCGTCAGTGCCGATCCTCCCAAATGTAGAGAACGAGCCAAGAGCATCAAGAAAAGTTGATCGAGAGTAGAAGGTTTTCCCAACACAACTCGCATCAGCCTGGTCAATAATCCCATTAAAGAACTCATTCGTCACAATACTCTCCACCGAAACGTCGTTAGTTGTCGGTGCAGCGTTGCAGGGACCCGCCTGGCACCCAGTGCCACAGTATTCATCGCCGGTGCCGCAATAACCCCACTTGCTGCAGCACTGGTCGGCAGCGCAGCCGCAGTTTTGAGCCATTAGGGTTCTCGGGAGGAGAACTCCTGCTATAAAAAAGGCGAGAAGAAGAGTTTTTGCCATTTTTGAGAGGGATTTAAGTGCTTGTGTTTCGTGCTGATGAAGGATTGAGGTTGAGAGGTATTTATAGAGTTGAAACGAGCTGCGGTTTGGGATCAGTGCGAACGTGTTTGAGTTTGAGATGGAAGTCAAAATTGGGATACCGCGGGTTGGGTTCGAGAGGGCCGGCTGAGGCTGTTACTTGCGATGACTTTGACCGAAAAATGAATGTGGGGGAGACTTTTTTATGCGTATAAAAAGTATCTAGTTTTGGTCAAATGAAAGAAGTCAAACTGCTTCGAGGTTCAACGTGGATGCATTCTTGACCATGTAAACTTTATTTGTGATTTAAAAATAATTTTTAAAAACTAAAATAAGATTCAAATTTTTTAGTTATACCTTAATACTTTTAACATTTCAAAATATGTATAACATAATATTTAAAAACTTTTCCATATTAAAAACTATAGAATACTGACTTTTAATCGTTTTTTAATATTACTTTAGTTTTTAGGATTGTAATCGAAAACTGATTTTGAAAAAAAATTAACTTGTTTCTATCAAACCTATTTACATGAGATTTTTTGTATCTAGTGACGTAGTCAGAAATGAAATGCAGGAGGGCCAAAGTTAGAAGAACAATACAATTTTAAATTAAAATAAACACAGTTTTGTATTTATAAAATTCTCATTAACTAATATATTTATAATTGTCATCGACGGTATTTCATCTTTTGAAAGTATTGTATAATGATTTCATTATCAATACTATCAAATACATCTTTCTTTATATACACAACTAAGTTATCATTCAACTATTGATCGGTCATTCTATTTCGCAAATGATTCTTCACAAAATTCATTTATAAAAAGTGCTTTCTTTACACTAGCAATGACGACTAATAGAATTAATGTTAATTTCATCAACAAATAAAGTAGTAGAAATACTTTAACAAAAAATAAATTAAAGTAATAGAAATTGAATTGAAATATATCTTAGTGTAATATTTTTTTAAATAGATCTTACATTATATATATAGGCTAAAATTGAATTAATATGTGTAGAAAATATATTCAAACAACCAAATAATTGTATAATTAAATCCACATTTTATAACACTTGTAAAATAATTAAAGTTAACTCTCATTTAAATCATACACTTTCTTATAACAAATATAAAAATGCATAAAATAATGTGGTCCCAAGAACCCATCTTCTCCATAAAAAAAAAATATAAAATTTGCCAATACATGTTAGTAGTCCCAAGGGCAAATTATTGTAATACAAATTATTGCTTATTAATATAATGAGTCATATGGACATGCACGGAAAAATTTAAAGGTAATTATTTTAAATGTTAAATCATAAGATTGCATTTATTCAATAGCTAAGAATTTTTTACTCCTTAAAAATCTAGATTTTAATAATGGTAGAGGTTGAATTAATAATATATCTATAATAAAGCATATGAATTAACAAAATTTTCAGGTTTATAGTTCTCGAGATGACTCGAAATTTATTTATTTTTTTTATTTTTTTTTTTAAATACAGTCAAGCATGTATATATTTTATTGGGATTAATAGAATGAACTTAAAATCTAGACCTAAACTTATGCATGAATGAGAAGTTACTCTTGTTGGAAAGAGTTGATATGAGTTTGGTCCTTTTCTTTTTTTCTTTTTTTTTAATCACGATCTCTTATTAATGTTGTCTTAAAAAAATTAATGCGTTATTATCTTTGAAAATTGATTAATCACAAAAATAGGAAACACTACACAATACGTTCTTTCTCTTTGCATTGAGATTTTCATGTTGAGATTAGTGGATATGAGGACTGAATTAAGAAGCTAGCACACAAAGCGCTCAGATTTGATTTTTTGTTTTTTTGGGTAATTAAGCTTTGAAAAGATAGAGGAAATAATGTACAATGAGACTTAAAAAAGATGGTTAGCCTATTACAGGACAAACCCCTAAAATATGAACAAAAACAATAGCCTAAATAAGCCAATAGAGCAATATAAAATCTCAAACAACCAATACACATCTTACCACAGAACAATCCTTAGAAAATGGCGGAAAGCCTATATAAGAATAAACAAAAGGAAAAAAAAAAAAAAAAAAGGAACACCCTCTTCCTACCACAAGACAAACATTGGGTTAGGTAAAAGAGTAATACTACACTTACAAAGAAATTTTACAAAGATCTTTATATAAAGTGCTTGCAAAAAATGAATGGAAGTGAATTTAATAAGTTGGACTTTTTGTTTCACTCTTTCATTTGTTTTTTGCATCTCATTTGTATGAAAATTTTTGAAAGTATAGTATATTGTAGAAAAAAACATACGTGAAAATGGTAAGTAAAGAAGTTACCAAAATCTATCTCAGGATACGCTGGTTTTTTTGGGGGGGGGGGGGGGGGGGGGGGGGGGTGGGATATGGGTTATGTTGTTGTTGAAAAAAAAAAAGGACATGGGCAAAGCCAATAACCACCAACACACAAAAAGAAAAAAAAATCTGCCCACAGGACGCGTTAAAGAAATCATCAGATTTGATTGAACCTTCGCATTAGTAAATAAGTTTCCTACGACAATTAAATGCAAAATATACTTTATCGCTATAAACGGAAATTCAAAATTATTGGGGTTATAAGTTTTCTATTTGGTAATAAAACCCAATATTTTTGACTTTATAAAGTCCCATTTATTGATTTCAGAAGAAGTGTCAACTACGGCATCTTTCATATTTATTGATTTTTGAGTAAACAATTGCCCACCACTAAAGAGCACCGAGTAGACCTTAGAATCGTCAGTTCAGCCTAGACGGCTTTCTGCTTCTACCAATTCTTCACCAACTTTAAATGTAAATTTGGGAGACTTCTGACTTTACACAAGTATTTCGTACAAAAAAAATCGATTATTTTTTTTGCAAAAAAAGGGATTTTAGAAATATTAATTTAGTAATAATTTAGATTAATTGCTATACATAGTCTATATATATATATTGCAAACAGCAGACGGTACAAGAAAAACTTTATTAGAAAAAAGAGAAGAAAATCAACAATGGTTTCTGTAAATATATATGTATTATTGAAGAATAATAACCCAAATTCTTTTTCATCAATAATTTAATATATGTTTTGTTGTCTATTTTAATCAAGGAGGGTACCACAACATTGCCTGGTAAACATTTTTATGGTATTAAGTACTCTTGTCCCATAAAGAAACAATTTAAACATTTTTATTCAACAAATTGCTGAATCAAAACATCAGGAAAATGTTAAATAGATGGTACACGATTGCAATATATATAGTTGTTGGTTAAGCTGGGTGCTGTTGGAGTACTCTAGTAAGATAATAACTTTGTTTTATTATATTAATTAACAAAAAGGATGTCTGCGAAAAAGAAAGATTATTTTGAATAAAAGAAGAAAAGGATAAAGAGAACGTAGTTGAAGAAGAGAACAAAATGGTAACTAAGTAATATTTTATCAAGACTTTTTGTTTTAAATGGTGTTCTAGATAAGAAACACTTATCTACGAGAAAATATATATATTTTTTTTATAACTAATCAAAGCATAATTAAAAGGAGAAAAAAGATACACCACTTAACTGAAAGGTGATCAAGTGGAAATTAAATAAAAGATCAGAAGAAAGAACCAATTCCATGTATCAAATGAATGGAAAGAATAATAGATGTTAGTGGAGAATCACCAATTCAAATTACTGGATAACTCTTAACACTTAATTAAGTTGAAATATTGGCATAAAGTTCTGTTTACTCCAACTTATTGGAGAAGAGTCTAATAGAGTTGGTACTATAAAAATAGTCTTATTGGATCTTGAATTTGAGTTGTATCAAGAGATGGCTAATTACCATACTTGAAAAAAAAAAAAATTGATCCTTCAAGGACGAAGTTACGAGTTGGCGTGTAGTGGCCGTGGCCACCCCACAAAAGTTTTTGAATTTTATGTAGTTTATCATTTTTAGTCTTGACTATGAACTTGACACTTTACCACTGTTTAAGCAACTTTTTAATTTTATTTTCTTTAAGCCCCTTTATTTGTTAGATATTACACTTTGGCCCCTCACAAAAATAATTCAGGCTTCGCCCTGGAGGGTCTTTATGCAGGAAATTGTTCATTTTTTTATTCGATAAAGAGTAAAAGACTTTTTCCCACCCAAGGTTTGGCCTAATGACACTTTTCCACTCAAAAAGTTTTGAAATGATACTTTCCCACCCAATGTTATATATGTTCCGTTAGTGAATTTTGTTAACTACGGTATAGATTCATTGTAAAGATGAAAATACCCTTTAAAATATATATTTACCTTTTTTCATTACACAAGGATCTGACAATAGGATTTAAACATTTTTTCGAGATGCCGACATTGATTCATACGCCGAGTTTACTGCATAATCCATAGTATCATTAAAAAAGAGGGAAAAGAGAGACAGAGAAAGAGGAAAGGTTTTTCAATCATAAATAAGACAATGAGGTAAACACTTAGCAGCAAACAAATGAAGAATACTATTTGATGGCATAATATAATTTAAATGAAAACCTTAAATCAGTCTCTACCATCCACAGGTTGCAGCCAAATGAAACATCTATCTTATAATACACGAAGAGCGGCTGCTTTCTAATCGAACCCATTTTTGCGGGTCCTTATTTGGCCAACATATAATCATCGGGGGAAAAACTAGAAGGAATGATAAACTATTATACATTGCTTTTGATATGAATATTTGACATGGCGGCAACCACGAGATAATTTTTACACATATCTTCAAGTTCAATAGCCAATGAGTTTAGGCATGAAGTCAAAGCAAATCCCAAAATCACAACTGCACAAATCAACAACAGACTGCAGAAATCTTTCAATTTGATACGAACATCTACCACTTGTATAATGCAAACCCATAAATAATGGTGTAAGCCACCAGTCTGAGAGCATAGACTCTATACCTGCAAAATTCAAGGCGATTTTCAAGCCAAATAACTATAAAATATATATTTAATGTCTTAACTATATACTGTATTTAATAATCTAATCAGCTTAATTTTTTTATCATTCACAAGAAAATATAATCATTAATGGAGAAGCCAGAAACATATTTTTTTAGTGAATCCAGAAACAACCCAACATAGAATAAGTCTATCCGAGCTCTGGATAAGAAACCGAGCAGTGCACGCATTGGCCAAAAACTGAAGAGGAGGAGCCAGATACTCCACGCGAATCAAAACCCACCGAGAATACAGTAAATCAAACAACCCCTGATACCTAAGGGCTTGCAAATATGATTTACGTTGTAGTTTTGGAGCACC